CTAAATGGATGACTTGGCTGGGGGTTGGAACTGTCTGTGACCTAGACTAGTAGGGACCAAAAACCTTTATACTAGGATTGTTTGATTTCAGCAGTGAATACAAGGATGGAGTAGACACTGATTTGGAGCTTCATTCTTGTCTGGTTTGTGGACAAATAAAGTGTTTCTTTCCAGGTTGTCCTTCAGGAACCTCCTTGTTAACATCTGAATTGCTACACTTTACTTATGTTTGGGGATGTAGGGAGTGAAGAAAGACGCTTGGATTGATTGCTCTTTGTACTGGACTTAGTCTTCCCATGGTGCTTTCCATCTGAACACCTGAGGTTTAAAAAAACTCATTTAAGCCTTGACCATCCTGGAATAAGAAATAGCTTAGTTTTCAGATGAGGAAACCTGAAGCACAGATGAGATGAGATAAGATGATTTGCATAAGGTGTCATGCAAATCCATGCCAGAGGCTGGAGGTACACCTTGAAACTCTTTGCCAGGTACTTTTGGGCAGTACCCGAGCAGGAAGGGCAGTGGTTCTCAGCCTGTTTTAGATTGAGGGTGCCTCTTGGAAAGCACCAGCTTTTAGCTTTCATTGTTTTCTTGACTGTTGTTGCGAAGCACTAAGACCAGAACAGGTCAGTATGGTTTTTGACACCATAGATTCCTCTTTGAAATCTCTGAGTTGCCTTGTGAATTGTGTAGGAGGTGTTTGTATTGTAAGGTGTACAGGCAGTTGTAAATATTCAGCAGCCCTTGGCAGCACCCTTGAATCTCATGACATCCCAGGGTACCGTGGCCCCTCGTGGCGCATCACTGAGCTAAAGTCTGTACACAGACGGTTCAACTTCTCTCTTGCCAGAGTTATAATTTTTGAGTTCAGAGTTTGGAAACTTGCAGCTTGTGGACTGGATCTGGCCTTTGGATGTGGGCCTTTGGAGCATTTGGCAGTGTAGGGCTTCAACTTTGGGTTCTTTCCCCAAGCTGCTGCAGAGACCAGCATCAGAGTCATAGGGTCATGGTGCCTCTGATCCGGGATGGATTGTTTCAGCTTGCAGCCAGGGAAAGTTCCTACTCCTGGTGTAATTTGTCTGACCAGATCAGTTTTTCTTGTTCTTTCAGCTGCTGTGCTATGTACAGTGAACATGCTCCTGAACACATTGGCTCCCGAAGGTCCTTTGCTTGCCTAGCTCCCCTTGTGAGTACTGCTCCTTCATCTCCCTTGCTGTCCTCCCCAGATTACTGCACAGTATGGCTGGGCATCGTGCGCCTATTGCATGATCTACCGATAGCTCTTGCTACCACTCTGGCTTTCTTTATTGGATTTTTAAAACTGCTATCCTCCTTGTTTTAAGAGGCTTCCACATGAAACACTTGCCTTGTAGGGGCCAGAGATAAAATTCTTGGGGCTTGAATAGCTTACTAGGAACCTGCTAGTCGGAGCCCTAGGCCAAGAAGTAGCCAGAAGCTGATCCAAAACATGTTGAGTGAGGATGCCAGTGAGATCCAGAGCAGCAGCTTACCGTGAAGCCCTGTGTCCAGCTAATGGTGTGTTGGGATTCTGAGCATGTAGCTGTCTTCTGGACCATGCACAGCTGGTCAGCTTGGATATCCACCTCTGTCTGTGGTAGTGTCTAAATCTGAAACCCCTCCAAAGTGTAACTACTGTAATGGAGCATGTCATCTTTTTCTCTCACACTCCTCTGACTTGAAAGCTGCCTGAGGGGTAGAGGCAGCCCAAATAGAAATCCCGTGGTAGTAGAAACAAAGCACTCTATTACATTTTAGGCGGGGTCCTATAGGATCTGCTCTGTTGCTGCTTGTAGTCTTTCCAAGCAGCAGCTAGTCAAAGCTGGCATCTTGCTGTTTGTTCTGGAAAGCAGGCACTCTGAGCTCTTTATCTGCTGAGCTGGGGAAACCAGTGCTGTATGAGATTACATTTGGAAGGCTTGTTTTGCAGCTCTCAGTGCTGGAAACTTTCTAAAATGCGAGCTTAAACTCGGCTGACAGAGACCTTAAATGGAACATTTAAGTCCTCTAAGCTTCCTACTTGCTCTGTGTGTGTTTAAAGCTTCATCTTATTTTAATTTTCACTTCTCTGTTGTAAGGATCAGCTTTGAGCAAATAGTCTTTTAATAATTGCCTTTGTTGGAAAGATATGAAAGGGATGCCTTCCCCTTTACTGCTGAGTTCAGCCTCAAAAGTGGCTGAGAGACTAATGCTTTCTCATTCCTAGGTTTCTATGGTCTCCAGATGTTACTTACTTTTATTGCTGCTTCCCCCATTGCACAGAGGACTGAGTATGAGGCTTTCAGGGGTATTCTGTCTGAGTCTGAGGAGTTTTGGCAAACTCGCTGTTACTTGGACACCAGCGCTTTCTTTTTTTTCCCCAGACCACATATTTGCAGGCTCAGAACTCTTATCTGGAAGTTTAAAGCATCGAACTACTATGGTACAAGCAGTTCTGCTTCCCAGAACCTTTGTTTTCCCTTGTGGCGTTTCATCCCCAGTGGAGATATGTTTTGTCAGGTGGGAGTGGTTGATTAGATAACTTAATTTAACTCTATTTTAATCCTCTTCCTTCCCCTTCTCCCACACTTGCCAAGATAGTGGAGATAAAAGAAAGTAAAGAGCAGTTACACTGGGATCTTGTAACTGTATCTAGCCTAGGGCAAACAACTCAAATCTTCCGTGGGGAATTAATGCAAAATAAAGACCGAGACCTGTCAACAGGAGGGGAAGCGCCTGTTATCAGTCTTTTCTACTGTCTGTCCTCTCTTTCCTGAGTTGTCTTTCTAATGTGGTAGTGAGCTTCATTGAAACACTAGCTAGAAAACGTTTATTGTACAGCTGTTCCTTTGCTGCAAACTTGTGAGCAAGATCAGCACTAGTATGATAATGATAGTAGTGATGATATCTGGCTTCATAGTAGCATATTGGTAACTGCTTGCATTTGTGCATGAACTTGGCACTTCCAGAGAGATGGGAGGGAGGCTGACTACACTGAATTCCCTAGCCACAGAACAAGTACATAGGCAGTTTCCATGCCTTTGTATAGCAAGGTAGCTAACTGGAGCTCTTGTGCTTCTGGCTTTAGGAGTGTGAGTTCTTGGTCACTTGAACCACTAGAGATGTCAGCTGTGGTGCTTTATGGATACCCATCTCAGGAACCAAGAACACAAACTGATTTACTTGTAAGCCTCCCAGCAGCTGTTGTAAACTGCTTTTGCTCAGTATGTAGCCACTCATTTATCTTGAAGCTGGATGTGATGTTGACTGTTTGCTAAGTCAGAAGCTGCTTAATATAGCCTGACCTTCCTGTGTTCCCTGTTTTCAGTTTTAAGATAACAAACTGTTCCCAGCCAGTAACACCTGCTTGTGGTTTCCTTTCAGGTGAACCATGATTCCTGTCACTGAACTGCGCTATTTTGCTGACACTCAGCCAGCATACCGCATCCTGAAGCCATGGTGGGATGTCTTCACAGACTATATTTCTATAGTCATGCTGATGATTGCAGTGTTTGGAGGGACGCTTCAGGTCACCCAGGACAAAATGATCTGCTTGCCCTGTAAATGGGTTACCAAAGACTCCTGCAATGACTCCTTCAGAGGTTGGACAGCTGCAGCCCCAGAATCCACTTACTATAATTCTAGTCTTGTCCAACCTGCAGACACAGGGCCCACAGGAATAAAATATGATCTGGACCGGCACCAGTATAACTATGTGGATGCGGTGTGTTACGAGAACCGCCTTCATTGGTTTGCCAAGTATTTTCCTTATCTGGTGCTGCTACACACTCTCATCTTCCTGGCCTGTAGCAACTTCTGGTTCAAGTTTCCACGGACGAGCTCTAAGCTGGAGCATTTTGTGTCTATTCTGCTGAAGTGCTTTGACTCTCCTTGGACAACAAGGGCTCTGTCTGAGACGGTGGTAGAGGAGAGTGATACCAAGCCAGCCTTTGGGAAGATGAATGGTTCCATGGACAAGAAATCTTCTACAGTCAGTGAGGATGTGGAAGCCACCGTCCCCATGCTGCAAAGAACAAAGTCTCGAATTGAGCAAGGAATTGTGGATCGGTCTGATACGGGCGTCTTGGACAAGAAGGAAGGGGAACAAGCCAAAGCACTGTTCGAGAAAGTGAAAAAGTTCCGCACGCATGTGGAAGAGGGAGACATTGTCTATCGCCTCTACATGAGACAAACCATCATCAAAGTGATCAAGTTCATACTGATCATCTGCTATACTGTCTATTATGTCAACAACATCACGTTCAATGTTGACTGCAAGGTGGACATTGAGAGCCTGACTGGGTACCGCATGTATCGCTGTGCTCATCCTCTTGCCACTCTCTTTAAAATCCTAGCCTCTTTCTATATCAGCCTGGTGATCTTCTATGGTCTGATTTGCATGTACACGCTCTGGTGGATGCTGAGACGATCCCTCAAGAAATACTCCTTTGAGTCCATCCGAGAGGAAAGCAGCTATAGCGACATCCCAGATGTAAAGAATGACTTTGCTTTCATGCTGCACCTAATCGACCAGTATGACCCACTTTACTCTAAGCGCTTTGCTGTCTTTCTGTCTGAGGTGAGTGAGAACAAATTGCGGCAGCTGAATCTCAACAACGAGTGGACCTTGGAGAAGCTGCGCCAGAGGATCACTAAGAATTCCCAGGACAAGTTAGAGCTGCATCTCTTCATGCTGAGTGGCATCCCTGATACTGTCTTTGACCTTATTGAGCTGGAGGTCCTGAAGCTGGAGCTCATCCCTGATGTTACTATCCCACCAAGCATCGCTCAGCTCACTAGCCTTAAGGAGCTGTGGCTCTACCACACAGCTGCCAAAATTGAGGCTCCGGCCCTTGCCTTCTTGAGAGAGAACTTGAAGTCCTTGCACATTAAGTTCACGGACATCAAGGAAATTCCTCTGTGGATTTATAGCCTCAAGACCTTGGAAGAGCTCCACCTGACGGGGAACCTGAGTGCAGAGAACAATCGGTACATTGTGATAGATGGCCTGAGGGAGTTAAAGCGACTTAAGGTGCTGAGGCTGAAGAGCAACCTCACCAAGTTGCCACAGGTGGTGACAGATGTTGGCGTGCACCTCCAGAAACTTTCCATCAACAATGAGGGCACCAAGCTCATTGTCCTCAACAGCCTTAAGAAGATGGTCAATCTGACAGAGCTGGAGCTGATCCGCTGTGACCTGGAACGTATTCCCCATTCCATCTTCAGTCTCCACAATCTCCAGGAGATTGACCTGAAAGATAATAACCTTAAGACTATTGAGGAGATCATCAGCTTCCAGCATCTGCACCGTCTCACTTGCCTTAAACTGTGGTATAACCACATTGCCTACATCCCTGTGCAAATTGGCAACCTCACCAACCTGGAGCGCCTTTATCTGAATCGCAACAAAATAGAGAAGATCCCCAACCAGCTCTTTTATTGCCGAAAGCTGCGATACTTAGATCTCAGCCACAATAACTTAACTTCGATCCCAGCAGACATTGGGATACTGCAGAATCTGCAGAACCTAGCAGTTACAGCCAACAGGGTAAGCAAGGAGGGAGTAGGAAGGTTTTTATGTGGGTAAAAGTGCATTTTGGACTTCTTGCTGACTCCTATAAAGTGTATTAGAAACACTGGGCTGTGATAGTAGGATGGGAAATACAGTAGTGTAAGAGTGATGTTGTAGCTGTGATGGTCCAGAAATTATGCAAGAGGATTTCTTGGGTTGATTTTTAATTGGATAAACCATGTAGTTGGGGTAAAGTTAGACAAGCTTCTGAATCTTTATTGGGTCTCTGCACGAATGTTGTGCCTGGCTCCTTTGATCCGTGACCTGACAAAGAATGCCTGCATTTGGAAGCTTGTTTAACTTTATTGGATCACCTATGTAGTTGGGATAAAAGAGATCACCCTAAGAAATCCTTACTCTCTGGAAAATACACTAGCGTTATCATTTTTAGTCCTACAGTTTTGATCTTTTGTCTGTACAGTTTTCCTAAGTGAAAAACTGCAGACCATTCCAATTTGGAGGCGTTTTTTCCTCTTGTAGTTGGCAAACTGCTGTTCAGGCTGTTGTTTAGTTTTTCCTCCCTGGTACAACTGAAATGTCTTTTTAAAAGGCTATTTATCAGCTAACACACAAATCTCTGTCTCTTTCTTGTGGCTTCTTTGCAGAGCATGTTTGTAGTCCCTGGATTGACACTTGCATTAGAGAACGGAGAAATTGCACATTCAGGAACACAGCACGATGTACTTAAGCCCTTTGGCATGTGTTAGTACCAACTGAGGTCTTAGCCTTGGTGCCTATGTACAGATGAATGCTGTGGTAGTGTTTGTATAGTGCTGTACATCTCTACAGTGCTCCTAACCTTGACTAGACTTACTTTGTGTAGTTCATAATCAAGCCCCAAACTCTTCCTGTGTGAAAAGTTGATGAGATCATTGGTTTAATGAAAAGCAGCTTTTTGACAGGGGCCTGGGAAGTGAAACTTTTGAATGTAGGTGGCAGCATAAAGAAAATGGAAAAGCTGAGTGGAATAGCAAAGCAGAGAGTGCTTGGACATGGAGGGGGGCAGAAGAGGACTGGAAGAAGTAACTGACTGTTCTCTCCCCCTCAAGTATAGGCAGAGGTGGAGTTGTGCCGAGTTTTGAAGGAGAGAGAGTATTTTAGAGACCTGGTTAACCTTTTTGTTTACTTCTCAAAGGCTAATTCCCCCCAGAGTCCCTTAGAAACGTACATGCTTGGTCATTACTCAGTAGGCAGGTCGCAGTAGTCTGGAAATGGGTATCTGTGCAAACTGTATAGTGTAAAAATGGTTAAAGGTCTTTATTTACCCTGCCTCCTAAAAGGAGGCTGTCAGCCAGATGTGCTGCAAATTGCAACCCCGGTGGATACAGGTATGTGATTCTCCCCCCCGCCCCCCATTTATTCACCCACAACCTTGTCTAGAACTACATATTGATTTAATAGTCTGCTGGTTTTGAAAGAGCTCTTTTGCTGTATTATAAAATAGGGTGCTTATTCAGCATGGCTTTTTTCTGTAACTGCAACTTTTAAAATACATTAGTGTCTAGGACCACAGGCAAGAATCTAGAGAAAGCTAAACTATCTTGGTTAGTTCATTGACCCTATTCTGTGTAGTGATCTCACTCAGGCCTTTAACTTGGCTTCAACCACTTTGTCTACAAGTGCATGTACAGTGGATAGAGGGGTAGTGAACTCGTTTAGCACCTGGGCCTGGGGGTGGTGATAGTATGCCAACCACTCTGAGGTGGAGGGTGAGGAGAAGCAGAAACTTATCTGCCTAGGGTGCTGCAGCTACTGTAGCAATGTTAGCTCTGATGGCAGTAGCCCTGTAAACTGGGCTCCCTGGAAGCTGAACCTGGTTGCCCCATTTGCACCTCCCCATACACGTATATCGTGTGCAGGGCTGTGCCTGCTCCGATGAAAACTTTGGGAGGAGGAGAAAGGTCCACTTTGTCCTTTGCCCCCCAGATGCACTGGTTGGCGTGGCACTGCATTGTCTGGCTCCTATGGCTGGGCAGGGGCAGGGCTGTCCCTGCCGTGGCAAAGACCCCTGGTGGGGAGGATTCTGGCGCCCCCTCATAATTGGCTCCTGCAGCTGGTTCCCTACCCTAGTTACAGTACCACCAGCGGGGATGTGCTAAAGTATCTTTACACGATATTTCTGGCTCTGGCCGAATGTTACTGCAATTTTCTTTTTAATCCCAAGCGAAAACTTCCTGAACCCACAGGGCAAGTCATCTCATTCCTAATGAGCTGCTGTTTGCTTATGCTGCTTAGGAGCAAGAAAAATTGCAAGAGGTGACCTGATTGTGCCTGGTACTGAAGAGTGACTTTTTTAGCAATAACTTGTCCCTGTGGATTGCCCTGCAGTTCTGGTTCCTTGGTTATGTAAAGTGCTGCGACTCTTTTAACATAAAGGGAGTTTTCTCTGTCCCATTTATACGTGAAGATCCATTGATGCCTCACACTGAAAAAACTAGTTTAGAATTCTGCTCGTGTTACAGTTCCCATTCTTCCCAGCCACACAGCTCCTGGGAGGCTTTGTTGCTAGACACCTTGAAAACAATTTTATTTTTGTTTTTCAAGTTTATCTAGTCCTGTTCATTCCCACTTGAAGTTGCAAAACGTTCCGATAACCTGGTTGTGCAAAGAACAGCCAGCTTTGTTGAGGGATTGTGAGTTTAGGTGGGAATATGTGACAGAATCCTATTTCTTCTGAGGAGCTCTTATTTTTATTTTTTATGATGCCCCTGCTGCCTTTCCAATGACAATGGTACCAAAAAAACCTCTTTCATAGTACTTGGCCTTTCTTGGGAGGGAAACTCCAGGCAAAAATACTTAACACTGAATTGTAGCAGAAACTGTAAAGAGGTTTTTACAATGCTAACCAGCATTAAATTGTTTTTATAACCTCCTGGCTCCTAAAAGTGTTGTCACATAATAGCAGGACACTGAAGCCAAACAAGCAATACATAACCCTGCTTCCTAATAATCGGAAGAAAACTGGGATAAACAATGATCTTTCAGGGGAAGGATGTCTGTTAAACTCATCTGAGTGGTGTAAGCACTAGCTAACTCCCCAGCATTGGGGCATGTATGAGCCTGTGACATTTTAGCATTAGGTTAAGAGCCAAATTTCTTTCCTTAAATAAGGTGGAGGCTTCATGTAGCAAGAACTAGCGATTCTCTTGGACGCTGCATTAAGAAGAGGAGAGGAGGCTTTCACATGTCCCCTTGGCATAGAACTGTTCTGGTCATAATAATAGTATCGATTATTTTGGCAGTTCATCAGCTCATATCACAGGGTTAATTCTGAGATGTGGTTCCTCTGCAGTCTGAGGGTGGGGCCTCGGAGATGAATAGGAACCGGAGGCAGCTCTGTTCTGCAGCAAAATATGGAACCACCCATCTTGCTCCTCAAAGACACTAATGCAACTGGAAGGCTAGAAGCAGCGTTTCCTTCTGTCTCCCACTGCTTTTCAGATGGAGATACAGTGAAGCAGCTAACCAGCCCTTGTTGCTTGCAGACCTACAGCCAAGGCTGCAATTTAACTTTGGCTCTGGAAGACTGGTTAGTTACAGTAACCAGCGGCAGGTGGGAAGGGGAAGTGCAGATTAAGCAGCATTTCTTAATGCTAGGAATTATACCTGGAAATCCTAATAGCTGTTTGTGGAGTTGGGCAGTACCAGTCTGTCATTCTGGTAAGCAGGTTCTCTTGTAGCACAGTCCCTTTTTGATGAGGTTAATTTCCGTCACTGGAAAAGTAAGCTGATTTTATTAGGTATGTAACCACTAGGGGCAAATTGCTGCTTGTACAGCCCGCTACTCTCCAAAACACCAGCTTAAAGTAACTTTTAGTTGCTGTTGCCTTGTTGTCTTTGCTTTCCTTTGGGTTCTCCCTCAGTCAGAACTTGTATTCAGACAGTCTGTAATAGAGTCGATGACTGATCTTAATTCACTTTAAAACAGTATAGTTATTTTTAAATACAAATGATGGCCTCCTTGAGACTGATTGAATGAAGAGGAGGGTCCTGACTTGATGCCTGTGATTTATTAAACCAAATGCCACAAGCTTTAGGTATACTGTATTACTGGAGTTGCTGAAAGAAACCTTGACTAATTAATTATAATCCAGAAAGGTATAATATTTTAATGCACTTAGTGGTCTGATTTGGCTAATGGTCTTCCCTGTGTGCCACTTGTCTTTGGATGCATGGGAGTGTGGGGCTGGTCAGCAGAGCTGGGTATCCTGATGGGACCTAGGAGTAACGGCCAGCAGGATAAGCTAGGAGGGATTTATACGGGTAAAGGTGCATTTTGGAGTTCATGGTCAGGGCATCGCACAGTGCAAACACACAAGGAAAGGGCAGTCTGTCCCAAAGAGCTTTGTTTCTAATAAGAAGGACCTATATGAACAAGAAGCAGATATGAGAATGGTGGGACTAGGCCTACCAGCAATTATAAGACCCTCTCAATATTTAGAGAGAAGCCACTAAACATTCAGCAACTAATTTTGGGGGGGGACATCTATGAGAACAGGAGAGCAGAGGACAGAATTCCAGTATTCCTGAAAATCAGCATAGATTCTCCTCTCCCCTTGACCTGCCTTCCCCCAGCATGCCTTAAGCCAGTGTTTCTCAACCAGCGGTTGTAACCCAAAAGTGGACCACAAGAAGAATATGAAAGGGTCACGAAGAAACTTTTAAAATGGATCCTTCTTTTAAAGGAGAAAAATGTGGGAAACCATGGCTTTTCCCTTGCGGGCTGGCAGAGCTCCTTTTGCCCCACATGCTCCCCTCTGCCCCCAGTTCCCCAGTGAGTCGGGAATGAGGGGCACTAGGTTGGACTGGCCATCAATGTTTATAAATGGGTCCTGGTACAAAAAAGGTTGAGAACTACTGCCTTCGGTGAAAGGCTGGATTGTTCAATGCATCACGTATTGTACTGAATTCCCATCTTACACTTATTTTAATGGCCCAATTTCCCCTTATGCTTCCAATCCATTTGTCTGAATTGGATAAACAAGAATGCTTTGTGGATTCTTGGCTTCTAAGAATACAATTTGCCATACCAAAGTCGGTCATCATTCTGTCCAGTTTCTCTGTAAATCATATGATGCCTGCCTTGCTGTTTGGACCTTTGTATTGGGTAGAACAAAAATACATGGGCTTCAAAGTCAGTTTTAATGATCACTCTTTTTGCATGGCATGCATCTGCAGTAGCATGGGAGCTCCAATGAGGAGATTGCTTGAGTCCTGCTACATCCATACAGTACTCTTGGTGCATTTCTGCTGGTTGCAGATGAAATGGCAAGTGGGGTCCCTTGCGTGTTACACTAACACTGACTAACATGAGTGTCTGGCTGGATTCCCCCCAGCTTGGGCACTATGGCACCGCTAGTAACTGCATTTCCTTCTGTTGGAGCAAAGAACAGAGGAGCTCAAACTCCTCCTCATGCACTTCAGGGTGAAACTAGGGTCATCCACACTGAGAAGAGCAGTGCCACTGCTCCACAATGTTGCATGCTAGCATTGAATGGATTCTCAGGGCAGG